CACGCTGCGCGCCGCAGACGCCTCGCAGGGCAAGTGGCTGAATGAAGATCCTTCGCTGGCACAGATCCAACAGATACTTATGACTCGACGATAAGCATTTACGATCCAACAACACTGCCCGGGGCTGTCCATCGGATTGAGAATATTACCGCCATCCTACCAATACGCCCACTCCCACATCATACTGCAGCGGATTCGGTCCTCCGCTCTTCATCGTTTCCCCGCACACGTCTCCTCCGGCGAGTCTCTATTGGCAAGACATGCCTACACATCGCGACTCATTGTTCAGGCTTTTCGAATACTACTCTTCTAGTGCTGGTCACACGGTTTGGGAAGCACATACACTTTGTTTCTTTGGGGTAGCCCTGGATGATAGCCTACTTTAGCGTTGGCGTTGGCGTCTTGAATCATTTCGGTGCATGGGACATGTTCCGCTCTTTTGGAAGGCACAAGCGACCGGTCGGCAGATATGCATGCGAAGTGATGGCGAAGCATGGCAAAAGCACAGGACAGGTCGGGTAAAGTTGACCCATAGACAGCCGTTCGGGCGTTTCCTCTATTCTTCTTCTCGCTTTTTTGTCAATTGCGGCTTTTAGGCTGCATCCCCATATCCTAGTTCCTTCTTGAGTTGTTTCCTTTCTTTCGTCTTCTTTTCTTCTTTTCATGTCAATAATTCTAGTCACTATTGGTATTTCAAGCACGTCAACACCATCTCATGAACACGAAAACGCACACAAGCCTGTTACTAACCAACCCCTCATCAAGAAACGAATGTGAACCCTGGAGCGATATGGGTATCTCGAACTAACTGCCTTTAGCGTCGTGCACTAGCTTTCAGCTTGACAGGCACATGGCCAGATCGGACTCGCACCGTCGAATCCCACACTGCGGAGCCGACCGATTATGCACGTGGATGCAATGCACCAGGGCTTTTACCAAACGGTTGTTCGTAAGGCAGATAACTTAGCGTGGCATCAATGCTATAGACGTCATACACTAGGCAGGGCTGAGTGAGGAGTAATGGAGGCTCTAGCAGTAGCATGGACATGTGCCAATGTGCTTCCTCACGAATCACAATGCAACGCAGCCTCTCCACGACACAACCCCATGGCGCAAAATTAGCAACTGGAAACTTTCCATCGATCGCACAACGCGGCCATCATCACACAATATCACGCGCAATCATGCATCGCCCAGCATCAAATCCCACATTCCCCGTTCCATGCATTCGGCATCGCCTTAACAGACCAGGATTACATCCCAGGGCAGCTCGCTTACGCTATCTTCCCGCGCACTTGGCCTGATTGCGGCCTAGGGGATCGTCGGAGTTCCCGAAGTTGGCGGGCTTAGCGTGCGAAGCCACGCTTCGGTACCAGTACCGGACGAATATCATGTGCGATGAGGGTCGTGGGATCGATGCACGATGGCTAGTTGCAGATGGCTACAGGGCGGGGTGCAGTGCAGAAGGTGTTGACGGGAGGTAGGGCGAGGTTCTGGCGCGGTCGCAGAAGGTGGCGTGGAATGCTGAGTGCGATGGGTCGCGATTGGGTAGGCTTGGGGGTTTGCATTTGATGATGACGCGTCATTGTTATCTTACTGCTTCGTCCTGTTAGATGCTCTCAGCAGTTGAATCAATCGTCGTGGGCTTCTGCCTGTATTTTCATGACTTGCGTAGGCGATGAACGTATAGCCTGAGGCATACAAGAAGAAGAGAATGCGTCGTCGATTCAGGATGGGGCCCTCGTCTTGACACAGGATGATTCTCGAAGTCGTGTTTTGCTAACTAGTGTAATCGCGACAGCTTCGAGGTAGCCCATGGTCAGCACGAAAATCCGAGACAAATACAGCATAGCCAAAAAAAGGTGTAGACGCTGCTATGGCATTGCGTAGTGCGCCTCGGTTTAAGGTTTCCGTTGTCTTACCCACAGATGTACCGAGAGCGTCGCTTGATTAAGGCCAATTATATGTAACATACTCGCGTCCTCTTGCTAAGACTGTTAATGCTCTTAGACCGCATGCTGGTTCTATCTGCCTTCTTACTTTGTCTTCACGAACGCCCAATCTTCGTTCTGATCAATATGCTAGCTTCTCACGAGTGTTTCCTATGCAAGCGCTATTCCGCATTCCTTACTATGTTATTCGAATTAGAGCGACAACCTGGCAATAGAAAACGACTACGCAAAACAAGCGACGACGCTTATTGACCGTGCGCTCCGTCTCCTACACCAACTCCTGAATCACCATGCCGCTCCCTCTGCTCTCGTTCAGCGACTCCCTCAGCGAAAAGCTGGATATCGCTACAACGACCCTCGATCAGCTCCAGGGGATAGCCGGGCCCAACTCGACACTTAATGAAACACCAAGGCCTCCCACGAACGCGACATCCTCTCTTCCTCCGCAGCCGACCAAGGAAACACCCAAAACCACCGAGAAGGATAACTCGAACCCGACATTCAATTCTGAGTTGTCGGACTTTTAAGAGAGACGTACTCCGACTCAAGAAGAAGAACCAGAAGTTGCGCGCAAACATCGAGACGCACAAGGACAACATCAAGGCCATTAAAGACGGCATGCCAACAAGAAGACCCCCAACAAGATGCTTCACAAGGTGAAGGAACTCGCCAACTGCGTCGAGCGCCAGAATGCTCGCAAGGTAAACACACATCAAAAGTTGATTGCAACCAGTCTCGCTAACGATCGGCAGTTAACCTCGCAAGCGATGCTCGAGGTCCTAGATAACGACGTCGAAGCCTGTGGTGTTGACTTCCAAGCCACTGCTGGTCCCCTGTGGACCGAGCTTGGAGAGCTGTGCAAGGCCGCGGAGAAGAACGACAAGGCTGCAACCGAGATCGGTTTCAGACAGCTCTTCCCGAGATTCCCGAGCTGGCAGTTAACCTACCGACTACATCGACAACTGCCCCAACCTTTGGCGCATCGAGTCAATCGCATCCGTATCGACTACAGGGAATTATGGGCAGCATTTATTCAGCATTCTTACTGATTCTGGGCGTATTCGTGCATCTGTTAACCCTTTGAGGTTACCCAGCTTGATCGCCGGGAGCAGTCAATCCAAGCTTCCACAACCGCCCTCGATATCATAAACAACCCTGAAGGATACATAGAGCCTAGCCAAGGTCACAAGCAGTCATCGTCAAAGACTGGAGAAGATACAGGTTGAGATCGCATGTGGGTGTTGCCACATAAATCTACCCGGGGAGTATTCAGTGTTGGTTAACCCATCACCATGCTTCCGCCAGACTTTAAGCGGAGGAACCCGCTCAGAGTGCGACCTTTCCAAGACTTCGATGACGCTGCCCCACCGCCATCCAATACCCGAAACAGGCTCTTGAACATGGTCCATGAGACTGGAGGGTTGAACCCAACGTGGAGGAGAAAGAACATTGAGGCATATATCGCCCCCAAAGAAGATGACGAACAGAAGCCTTCGAAGAGGAAGCGCAAGAACAAGAACAAGAAGACGAAAGAGGCAAAGGACGTGAGTCCCGCACTTCTGAAAAGTCAGTATGACTTGCTGTGGAGTCTGATACAGGAAGGGCTTCGGGTTGGATCAGATGATCACACAACGGAGTCGGGGATGGGTTTTGCAACACCATCGGAGCTTACCAATGCGAAAGAGCCCATCGTTCTCGACCCACATCAACGCCATGCTATCCATAGGGCCCTCCAGAGATTGCAGGCATGCCATCATGGAACCATTGTGGCATACGGCATGGGTATTGGCAAGACGCTGGTAGCCGTAGGATTGTACGCCGTCTTGAAGCAAGACTTTGCCATGCATGGGCGTGATTGGTCCTTGATTGACAAGACAACTTTGGACGAAGGGCATGATTCGCATGAGTTTGACCGCAAAGTGAGCATACAAGGAGGGTTTCTGATCGTTGTCCAAGTCGATCTCATTCCCTTATGGGAGAAGGAGCTCCAGGTGCACTTGGAAAACCCTCCAAGTGTCATTGTATACCATGGACACCAGTCGTGGTACCACTCCACAGCGCATACTGCAGACGAGCTTGCCGCAGTTGATGTGGTAATAACATCCTATGAGACGTTACGGTCAGATTACGAAGATGCCATGGCCGCTGCAGCGTCGCACGAAGACTTCTTCAAGACACCGGTTCTCGCACGTTCCCCCACCATGGTCATATACTGGAGGGGCCAAATCTTGGACGAGGCACATAAGATCGCAAACGACAAGACTGGTGTCAACAAGGCTGTAAATCGCGTTCGACCGTTGATGCGTCTGCCACTTACGGGTACGCCATTCCTCAACGATTACACAGATATCCAGTCCCAGCTGTCGCTGATCAAGCTCGCGCCCTGCGACGATCCGAACTTTTTCGCTTCTCTTTTCCTGTTACATTCTGCGGCCAACCCATTCGTATACCGCACGTTGTCGGGCAAACTCAACAGCGTGCTCTCTCTGGTACTCAAGTTATACTCTCTCCAGCTAGATCACGGAAACATTTTTGATGGCGAGACGGTTGCTTCCGAGATCGATGCGGAATATGTTCGACATGACCACGAATTGGAAAGCTGGGAGAGAGACGCGCAAGAGAACGTTAAACAACCGTGGCTTCCAAGGTTGGGACCTGGGAGCCGGGCGAGGGTGAGCGGCAATAGCGGCGAAGATATTCTCAAGCTCATCATCTTCGCCAGAGTAGCGGCTGTGCACCCCGAATATGCTGACACGGGTCACGGAGAGAACGGAATTGTCAAGGTCGATTATCAGGAACTCGACGATGGTGCAGTAGAAGGCCTCCCCCTGGGCGAGATTTCGAAGTTGCAGGTGCTCAAGCGTGGCGTGGGTCAATGCGGCAATGACGTCATGGCTAGCGGACCTTGCGACGCGTTCGTTTTGATCACGCACTCTCTCCAACTCTACCTAAGTATCTTACAGTCCAGGTTTCGTTCAAACTAGCCGTTTTTAAACATCCTCAATTAAACCCCCATGCTCTATTGACATGTGTAGTTGATCGCTGTGCTCAGCTTGACTTGCCAACAGCTCTTATCCTACCGCCCCAAAACCACAGCACAGCACTTGCTGGTAATCCCAAACCAATCGAGGCGAAACCCAATGCGCTGTTACCCCAACCATATCCCAGACTGTTGTACATGTCGGGCGCAAAAACCGGAAAGACAAATGCGAGGCCATACGAAACAGAACGAATTGCTGCACCAGAGGAAGCTGCGAACTGGCCAAACTCCTCAATCTGGTATGCGATGCTTGCTTGGTTCACGATGAAGCTACCCAGCGTGAAGATAACAACACCGAAATCGACCATCACCCAGTGGAGTGTGCGCTCGGCCGACCACCCATACCAGAAGAGACCGGCTGGCATGATGATCATTCCTGGAACCATGTAGGGGATGCGGAACTCAGGCACGCCTTTTCCATCAGTCCGTTTAGCTTGTCTTCGATACGACCAGTCCATGATGCGGCCGCCCAGTTGACCACATAGGGTCGAGCCTATTGCAACCGAGAGATAATGTAAGCTGCCGACAAGCTCAGATTGACCGTATTTGTCGATCCACAGCGACGCGTAAGTAGCGAGCATGAGTGTATAGACGGCAAAAGACAACGTCGCGGTCAGTGAGATAAGCCAGGTGATAGGCCTTGTCATAAAGATGCGGATTGGACGCAGGAGGTTCTGCGCAATGCGAGCACGCTCAGCTTTGGTGGTTGGGACGTTACCACCCTCGGCTAAGGCTTTGCGACGGAGCAAGACTGGTGTGTATGATTCGCGAATCAAGAAGAATCCAACGATTAGGACTACTGCGTTGAAAGCACTCATGATCCAAAAGATCCACGACCAATGGAGGGAATGGGTAACAAGACCACCGATGATTGGTCCGAGAGCAGGACCAAGGAAGGGCAGTAGCGTCACCATGGCCAGGGATTTGCCGCGTTCGTTCTCGCCATACATATCTGCCATGACTGGTCCATTGAGCTGCGGATAATTAGTCATTGTCATGTCGGCGTTAATAAGTCTTATCACTTACCGTTACGCCCACACTCGCACCAGCTCCGGTCATAAACCTCCCAACGATCATCAAGCCAGTGTTCCTTCCCACAGGACAAAGTGTGTTCCAGGCCACGTACCAAGCGTTACATATCAGCCAGATTGGCTTCCTTCCCCATATCTCACTGGCGCTTGCGATTAAGAACGGCGCGATGCCCATGCCAAGGAAGTATACCGACATGGTTATCTGTGCAGTAGAAGCGCTGATGGTGAGATCGGAAGCGATGGCAGGAAGCGACGGTGCAATCATGCTTGCAGACATTATGGGTATCAGCTGGCCGAAAGAGAATATAATTCCCATGGTGATCTTGCGTGAAGCTTGCCAGTTGTAAGGATCGGAGGTGTCCGTGGGTGACGCCCATGTTGACTAATTTGTTAGCAAGAATTGATCAAAGTAAGACATTAACATACTCCGTATTCATTCTTCAACCGCACCAGGCGGTCGTTAATATCGTCAGTGGTCCAAGACGTTATCTCCGGGTCTTCCCCGTCACGGGCTCGATGCTCAGTTTTGAGTATGCCCGGTGCCGGACCACCAACAATCCCATCGACAGCTTTCTCAGGGTCTTTGGAATGACACATATGTATGAATATCGTCAGCGAGAATTGCATATATCCAATAAACCGTGACGCGCTTTGCGTACAGTATATACGATGTTCGCTCGGAGTTCGGATCTGGGCTCTTATCAGATCGGAATGAGCCCAGGCCCCCCATCCCGATTGTTGCCTAGCAGGATCTGATAAAGTGTCAGTCCTCCATGCCGCCGCTGATGCTCTGACCTTCCTATTCCAGTTAGAACGAGGCTGGCAGTGATATGTGTTTACTAGTGGCCCTTGTATTAGCCACTTAGGTGGTTGATAGACTCAGATTCGGATACATCTATGGACGATGTCTCCGGCCTCTACCTTGTCCATCCCTCAAGAACGAATCATCCCTCAAGAAGTTGGCCGCGTTTTACATATCCTTCAGGGTCGATTATGATGCCGAATGTGGACATGGGAGGCTTTAATTGTCTGCTTTCGGCTTACTAGGTTGTGATACGGTGGTCTGCTGGGCAGTATTCTATACAAAAGAGAAAGAAATAGTTGGGAGCGTCTGAACGACTTCGTTCACTCTGGAGCCTACATTGTTGTTAAAAGAGACAAATGGAAAGTTTAGTAGCAATGTAGACTCCTAGGTCAATTCGAGGCCTGCTTACAGCCGAATGTGCTTTCTACATCCTCACAAAGCAGATGTGTGTTGAAAACTCCCACGAGATGAAGTGACGGCAGCTTTACAGGGCAATCGCGGCGAGCAGCCAAACTGTGAGCTACGGCATGAGGCTACGAGATCATTTGGGATACGAGAATCTCCAAAGTTCAGTTACAGAAGGCGCAGTACAGTTGCTAGTGTTGTGACAACGGTAAGAGTTCTATCGCAGTCGCCTGTACAACAGACATTTGATCAAAGACTCATAACACCAGGACTCATCGACTCGTCGAAGGTATCCTTTCCGTAAAGCAAGAACTCCATGTCGGTGACATTATGTATGTCGCTCTGATTCCTCCTCCAGCATCTTTAACAAACATCATATCCTCTGTATCTCCTGTTGCCAGCTGTGATGAGTCTGACCCTCCGGGAACATACTACTGACCACCTTCCCCGTCTTCATATCGTAATGTGATCCTGGTGGCAACTGGTTATGCATGCCACCTGGGCTTGTACTGCCGCCTCCACTTCCTTCGTTCTCTCTCGGATCGAGGAACTGTCCATGTCCATGTCCACTTACACCAGACCCTGGCCGTTGTGGCTGGGAAATGGATCGCTCGCGCCATCGCTGACTTTGCTCGTCTTCCCGGGTGAAACGCTCGTATGGACTGGGCATGCGAACGTCAGGCTGGAACGTAGCGGCGCGCGGCGGGGCGAAAGACGGTGGTTCCCATTGACTTCTTCCCGTAGCTTTCTCTGTGTAGTACCATCGTTGGCTCCTTGTGTCGTACTCCTGTATCCAACCCTGTGGCACTGATGGTGCACCGCCTTGCGGAGCAGGGCTGCCGGGGTAGCCACCTTGAGACTGCGGCCGGCCTTGCTGTTGCCCGTGGAGGACCGGCATTGGGTGATATCCATTTGCACGCGGCGGCGATCTGGTTCCGCGTCTCTGTTGCTCGAACTTGTGGATCTGTTTGGTGATGTAGTTGTCTGCGCGCTGTATGTAGGTTTCGAATGACATGGTGGCGTTCGTCTCGTAGATCAGGATAGCGCTAGGCCCGTACCGCGACAACGTTAGACTAAACGAGTAGTAGACGATGGTAATTGTGGTGCGTTTCACACAGCCACAACGGGGGCTTCACGCTATATATGCTCTGCCCAATCCCTTCCCCACGGCGTGCGTAAGCCACTCCTAGCCACATGTCATCAGCAGCTCTCCATCACAATGCAGGACTAGCCGCACCAGCACGCTGCAGAAGTCTCATCAAAATGGCGCCGCAATTTTGAAGCTTAGCATGGCTTCTATGGCGCAGGCCGCCGTGTGATTGGCCAAAGCAGGGGCGGTGCGGAAAGCGCGGAAGTGTGGCTCGCGTGAGGTGGCTTTCGCGCGTCGCTAATTTGCCGATTTCCGTGGCGCATGCGACAGCGAGGGATGTGACACCGAGTTTGCGTAGCACCGAAAGCTATCCGAACCCACAATTTGGCGCATACGAGATCGTGCGCGCAGTCCCTCCGAACCATGAAGAAGAAGCGATGAGTGTTGGTGTCTCGTCGCAGAAATCGTGCTTAAAGTCCATGTCACCATCCTCCCCGTGTCCCTAGATCACTCACCAAAAGGAATGGAAAAAGAAGCCTACCATTTGATGATAGTGCTCAATCATCCCTGGTACCAGTGCTGTAGGGTGAGCCTTTCGTTCAGAACCATATCCACGATCTGGTATCCGGACACAAGCTTCAGGTGAAGGCCAAACTCTCAGATGATGCGAGAAAGCCCCTGTTGACAGCCAATTCCCAGACCGGTTGGTCGTCCCAAATCCAGTAGTGCAGTTCGGCGGCACTGCGAATCGTGCGCACCTTCGTGGGGGCGACGATCACCTGCAAGGTGGAGCGTTATGTCTCGTGCGAATATGAGTCTGATAAAGGCAGAAGGATCGATAGAACGCCAGTGTGATCACTGCAGTACAAGAATCTGGTTATTCTCGTTGGAAAAGATGAGATATTCGAACGGTGTGCTCAGGTAATGTCTCGAAATAGTCAAGCTTGTCATCGTGCTCCTCGAAGATGATCTCTGGTCAATTCGCACAACGGACGACACTCCTGACGTAGCCGAGTATGGATCTGGGCCAGACTGCAGTAGTCCTAGGCAAAATGCATCCCCTCTTCGTATCGACAGAGTCAGAGCAACATTCTCGAACATTGTACGCGCGTCCGGCGTCAGCGTCCGCAATGACGCACCCATCTTCATGGCTGCATAGCTCTGATGAAAGACTTATTGGGTCTGTCAAGAGTACAAACACTGGAGGAATGATCAACTCCACGAAAGGAGAGGCTGCCAACTGGTGACGGCTCGGTGGAACCTGCGGAGAGTAGCCCGCTCGCGCGCTCGGATCGACGGCTGATATCTGCGGTATGCTTGCGCTAGGCTCGTAGCGACCAGAGGACGTCAGTATCACGTTTTCACCTTGTTCTGTAGCTTTCAGTACATACCTTATTGTGTCCATGTGGAATGATTGCTTTTGTAAGGTCTTTCGGGGGTTGCGTTTCGAGCTGCCCCTTGTTGCTTTGCTGGAAGCCGCCAGCATGCTTGCCGCGTGGGAATCACCTGTTCTAAATCTGGAGACATCTGCATGGTGTTGCTGTTAAATAGGATAAGTATTGTATTGACTCCCAGCTTTCTTTTGTGGAAAGCATGGTATTGTGCCTGGATATGGATAAGAGGGAACACTCCTAGAGAAGTCAGTCGCCGTCGGAGCCCACCAGGCTCTCAGTTAAGTGCAGCGTACAGAAGCAGACCCGGAAAGTAAAGGTGAGCGCTGGTCTGTATCGACGCGTCTGCTTGTTGTTTGGGTTCATGGCAGCTCATCGCGCATCGTGAGCGGCACCTGGATTACGTCACGGTCACGTGCTTCTGTCACCCGATCTCGGAACGCTGCACGTCCACGGGTACCTGCAGTCAACTCAAAAATCAGTATTCAACTCCATATTAACACAACCATAACTTCTGACACGGAGACGAGTCTCTGTCACAAACCCATATCGCCAAATTTACTTCGAACCCTTGATGAAGTCGCCGCGCAGCCACTTCGGCGCACCTTTCCTCACGAAGATCATGTCGTTCTCCGTGTCCAGTCCGAGTGCACTGAACCACTCCAATGCATCCTCTGGTACGTGCGGTAGCCTCGTCACTGATATTTTACACTGCTTGACCCAAGGCTCTCTGCTTTTGGGACTCAGTACTAGCCTCAAACCGAATACGCTCGGTTCCTTCAGCTCCACGCTCTTGAAGACGCCCTCCACTGCGGCTTTCCACTCCGCCTCATAACCAACAAATAGTTCGTTGAAGATCGCGCCTCCCTTGCCCACGAACTCGTACTCGAGACCAGGCGTTTGGAAAAGGCTTAGAAGCAGGGGACGGATTTCGATGGGTGTATCGTATTTGCCACGGCGTTCGACATCAGTACGTATTGTGAGCCAGGCGCTGATGGTGTTGCGATCGACGGCAAAATTGCCAGATGACGGGTAGATAGTATCCAGGTAGTCTTGCGCATCGCGAATGTGCACCGATACGGCGCGGTCTCTGAAGTACAGGTCGCGGAATTCGCGACGCGTTTGTCGTGACGCCTGAGTCAAGCTGTAGTAACCGCGCGCAGCCCAGAACGCTTCACTTGTTGTTGTGACACTGCGCCGGCTGACGTGCTGCTCAATAAGGCGCTGCTTGTCATTCGCGGCAAGCGCGTATATCCTGTTGCGCACCTCTACGCGTCTGTGAGCTGAGAACAAGTTGTGCCGAGGTTGGTATGGTACCTTGCGGAAGGTCGCTAAAGCCCCGGCCCGCAGACCTGCCAGCATTCACAGTGGATGGGTTCGAAGACATTGTGACGCTCATTGCAATGTTGCTATAAGCTTTTGCGCAAAACAAAAGCTTTCTTGGGAGTCCTAGGGGGTTAGAAGAGGTTGTGGAGAGATGCACATTAAGGAAGGTGAAGGGCTGAGTGTCAGCGTGCTAGCCGCATTAGGCAGGACGTAATCGTCGGCCGCTAGAGGATACGTAATTTGATTGTCGACCGAGCGACAAACGACGCATTCTCTCACACGTCGCCTTTATTCACTTCTTATTGACTAGCAGGTCGTCCTCATAACGTAAATGTTGGGTCGAAACAGTTTGCCTTGGCCCAACAGTCTACGCGCCCGGGGTGCCTTACCTAGGTACCATACTCGCCTCCTCATCGTATTCGACCAGCTATCAACATCAACGACTGACCTGATACCGACACACACTATAGAGAGAAGGCAATAATTTCTGTGAAGAAAGGATTGTCCGCAGTATTGCTGCACTGCGAGATCTTGCGCGACCAATCTGATGATGCATCCCACCGTGACCGTTCACACCAGGTCGCGGACTGTGGGAAACCATGAAGTCAAGGTGCCAACATCAGAAAACCATCTTGGTACGCACTCTCGATTAAACCAGCTAGTTCTCTGGGTCTTGACAGGATATCGACACCGTGCTAGATCCTAGCTTCGAAATGATACATGTCTATCGGGGAAGCAAGGGTCGCTGTCGAAAGCGGAGCGCACAAGCCGATATCATTAACGAGGCCTCTAATTGTACTCAAGGTTAGGCCAGGAAGACATCAAAAGTCTGGGATACGTAGCGATACAACTGTAGCGCTCGTGGGGCTACTGGAAGCTGCATCTCTGGTCGTCTCACTACTCTGTATAGGACACTGCATAACCACAAGCCATATATAGGATGCAGCATGAAGTAAAGCAGTGACTTCAGCTGTCACAGCTAGTGAAGCTGCCTATTAAGAGGGCTTGTCTTGTCTGAGGAATCGTGGCTCCGCATAGGCAACTTTCGCCCTTACCACCAGGAAGCTCTGATTCTTTCACTACGATCCTAAACCGTTGACCAGGCTCCGATTGGCTTATAGTCACCTTCACCTGTACATATCACTCAACAAAATTGCTCCTTCCACTCTCTTTACTCCATTCCCGAGACCTAACTCAACCAATCCCAATTTCTGATCGAGTTCAGACCAACAGCAAATCCCTCCGCCCAACATGAAACTATTCCGTACATTGGCCCTATTCGTTGTCGCTGGTCTCGCACTTCTCACTGCCGCTGTTCCCACTGTCTTCGACAGCATGACCGACGTCTCGCCAGTTGAATACACGGGTATGGCGCGGCTCTCCATGGTCTCCTGGCATCTACTTACTGACATCGATAGATGTGACTACCGCCACATGTTGCGATTGGAGCCCACTCAAGGTCCACCACGGCTTTGCCACTGTTGAAGTCTGGGTTGGCCGTCCAGCCATCAACTCAGGTTTTTTCATAGGCGAACAATGGAAAGATGGAATTGACCATGTAACGAAAGCTCTTTGTCCAGAGCGCGATGGAGAGTGCGTCGAGGGCGGCTTATTCAACACACCCCGCTATTGCTTTAATATCGAAGAAGTCTCCAAGTTAAATCCGTTTCCTGTTGAATGGAAGTGGAGTAAGTAATGTTCTCCGCGATGGGTACGCATGCACTCATCTCAGTTCTAGACAAGATATGCTTTACAGCGACAGGGGCGTGGGAAAGTCCACATGTCCGTCAGCTTCTCATCGATTCAGTTGCTATGGTTCTCGGTAAGTGCTTATTTAACGAGAATTATGCAAACTCACCAACTCACTATTTTTTGCAGTGGGGTTCACAGATGACGCGTACAGCAATCCCAACTGCTACGAATTTCCCGGCAAGATGATGTGCAACATCCCAAATGCTGTCCATGTCCGCCTCCCCTCTCTGGACGGCTACAAGAATACGAGGAAGAACTGGATGTCCATCGAGATGACAGACGGTGGTGCTGTTCAGCACGAATTCCATTGTTGTGACACGCGCAACAAGGTCGATGCGCGGCTCGACACGCTACACGACCAGATGAAAGAAGTCTTTCCTGAGAACTATGAGAAACTCAGGTTGGTAAATTGCATGGTTAACAGCTGGATGACCTGCGAACAATGTTACGAAAAGTTCAACGTCGAGAACTGCAAGAAGTGTGGCAAAAAGTGCACAAAGCTATAAGCGCTTTGGGTACGCGTCGAGATTTCGCACACGACTTTCAAGAATGAGACACATCGAAGGAATATCTCAGTGGCTAAGCTTCAAATTTGGGAAGCTTCATGGGTGGATAGCAGAGAGCGCTCGGCTCTTTTGTATCTTGTCATTACCGTAGAATCTCAACACTAAACGCATCCACTAGCAGCGGTTGCGCATTCTTAACTCCATGCTGGAGAGTGCTCAGTCGTCGCAACTGGTATTTTTGAAAGCCTGACTTTTGGGTGCTACCTTGTATGTACTGTCTTGCATTCTTCTTTGTAAGCCATTTTGTATAGCAGAAGCATGTAATCTCTTGTGACCTCCGCAGCGCGCTCGTATCCACCGCCACTAGGCTCAGCCGTCTAGGCTGGTCGGGAAGGAACCCCCAACAACGCCATTACATTTCCCCCTGCGTTATACTCCTTGATCATCCTTGACATGACTTGCATCAGGTACGGGCGTCCTTCACCTGGCAAGCTAGCCTTGAACTGTTCAATCCACCGACCTGAGCGCTCCTTGTTCTGTGCAGCTTCTTCTGACGGGTTATCCGGGGTACATAGCACGACCCGCAGACACTGCCAGACCTGTAGTAAGTGGCGATTGATGTTCGCGCGGAGCTGGACGGACAGTTGCGGCGCCGTAGGGTTCGGAGTGGAATCTTGAGGATACGACGTCGGATAGCCTTGCGTTGCGGGTGGCTGAGGTGGCGACATCTGCTGTTGAGGAGTGTGAGGAATAGTGTAGTATGGGTCCGGGGACGACGGGGAGGGTTGCACGGGTGTGATGCCCGGCTGAAGCGGGGGTTGAGCATATACCTGGTGAGCTTGAGGCTGGAATTGAGGCTGTTGAGTCTGATGTACTTGTCCCATCCGCGCTCGGAAGCCCTCCTGATTTTGAGTCTGCTGCGCCCTTTGCTGCTGCTGCAACTCCATCGCAGCCTGCATGCTGGCTATTGACTGGTTGACAATCATGGTGGCATTTTGGATGTTCGCGAAAGCTCTCGCTCGCAGTTCATTATCTTGAGAGTCGCGCACAACAGCCCCATTTTCGTGGAGGAGTTTGGCGATCTCCATGCGCTTGTCGGGGTGGAGGATGTTGTATCGCGGATCGTGCAGTATATCGACTGGTCGGAGAAGAGGGATCTGCTTACTCGGGTTCGTCAAGTTGTTCAAAGCTGGGCTGGGGGTAGAGCTCTCAGGCAGACCGGTGGCACTGTATGACTGTTGTTGAGGCAGCATAATTGGCGGGGGTAGCATCGGCGCTGGTGAGGTGAAAGGCGAGAGCATGGCTGGCTGGTGACGTGAGTTCACCTGCGCCAGGTTCTCATCGATATCAGTTGTAGATGATGAGCGCAAGAAGGACGGCTTTTGTTGCCGAACAGCAGGCTGTTGATAGACCGGAGCATTCCTCATCTGCGTCTGTTGCCTAGTCATTCGCACTGGCTGCTGCTGCTGCGACGGGCTGAAGTGAACTGCTGATCCAGGCTGGGGTCGGCGCTGCGACGCGTTCGACATGCTACGTTGCGCAATTGCCTTCTCGGAAACAGTGCGGACGCCCTGCGGTGGTAACAACGGGTAGAGGGGACTGCCCGTCTGTGGGCGTACATCCAATCCAGGAGTAGTACTGCCGCTGCGTGTGCCACCCATATCGGTGTTAACGAAGCCATAGTTCGCATTTTGCACCTCTCTCATAGCTGCAGGCTCAAGCCCCTCGAATCGTTCGGCGGTCTTATAAGACCAAGACCGTGAAGGCATGCTGTTAGTGTACCGGACCGGCGGGGGTGGATTCATGTAGTATATCGCAGGGTGTAAACCAGGTTCTTGGGTCACGACCAGACGCTCGTCGGGTCCGTAGATGAAGTCGCTGTAGGCAGGGAAGATGTCGCAGTCGCGCTGCAGGTCTTCCCAGTCCTGGTCGTGGAAAGGCATTTCTGTGATAGTCGGGTACCAATCGATACCAATGGCAGAGTGAGATGATGACGCGTCCCAGTGGTATTTCAGCGGTGGTGTTGATAAGTTCTGTGCGCTCGGTAGTGCCTAATGGAAGGCGCGCGGCCGCCAAGGAAGGTGCGGTGGAGGAGCGGGATGGTGAAGGTGACTCCCGTACTGGGTTCGTTTGTAATACAATCTGCAGAGTAGTGTAAGAGCCGGCTATGTTCGTAGAATATTGCTGGTGGCCGAGCGACTCTCTTTCGGATAATCTCGCTTCGTCCGCAGTTGTCCCAGAATGAGCTGGATCTTGATGGTCTCCATCTAGTCATGCAGAACTACAAACGCGAGGCGGGCGTAGAGAATGAATTCGGGAGTGCACTGTAGGCGCATCTGGAGGATTCGAGCTTGTTGGCTGACCGAAAAATAGAATTGAGAGTGAGAGCTGTTCCAAATGTCTCCAGCTCACTAGGCCTTATTCTAGTACGCTTGAAACCCGTTTGCCATTCTACAGTTGGGTGGCCAAACGACTTCAATTTGATATCGCTCACAAGCGTTCTGACGATTTTGAAAATGTTCGGCGCGTGGGATCATGGTAGTGCAACCTACTACCTTGACACTACGGGTTTCTACGATTCCAGCTAAGCCAATGAAGGTGGAGCGGAAAGCAAGAAGGCAAAGTGTCATATCTCGGTGCCAGCGATACATGAGATGAATATCTGCTTAAACCCATCTCTTGAAGTGTGAATTGACGACAGAATAGAGACAAGGAATAAGTCAGCGAGATACGTAGGTTCCTGCGGTCTCTCTTATCTTCGAATAAGCGCAGACACAATCTAGAGTCAAGCCCTAGGCATCGAGCTGATGATAATCTTGGTAATAGGCGGAGTATGTGGATGAAGACAGATGATGAAGCATGCCAGACGAGGTAGGTGTCGGCGAAACCATTCACCGAGACGCCAAAGAATGTCGCGCTCCCCACCACCCCACCATCGTTTGGTCGGTCTCACAGCAAAGTACCCACGGTCTCTACCTTGCCTCGTTTCCTCCGCTCCCTACCTACCTTGTTCCACGACACCCTACACCGTCACAATGAGCGAGGCGACGCCTACACCTGAACCAGAAACCCTCGAAGCGCTACAATCTCGGCATCGCAAAGAGCAACGCGACCTCGTATCCCGTACAACACAAAAGAAGAAACAAGCGAGCAAAAAGACACGAAAGGGCGTCAACGATGAGTGCGAGCGACTCGAACGCGAATTGAAGGAGCGGCAGGCGCATGAACTCGCCGTGCTGAACGGAGAGGCTGTGGATGCAGAGGAACAAGCAGAGGATCCACAAAGCTCTGGGGATGAAGCGCAGGATATCCAAGAAGACATGTCCAATCTCAGAGTAGATGATGCTGGTTCGAATAGAAAAGACAGCAGCACCAATGGCGATTCCACCGAGCCCAAGAAGAAGAAGCCGAACCGTGCCAAAGCCCGCCTCGCCCGTCGCGCCGCCGAACAAGCCTCCGTCATCGCAGAAGCAGAGCGCGAAGCTGCAAACGCGCCGAACCCACGTGAACTAGAACGAGAACGCATGGCGACACAATTACAAAAACACGGGCTGACGCTGCATGAGATACGCGCGGATGGTCATTGTCTATACGCTGCAGTCGCGGACCAACTGCAGACACGGGAGTTGGGCTTGAAGCCAAGGATAGGTGTCACCATCAATGGACAGGGAGATCAAGGACTGGACGCTAAGCCCGAGGCATACAAGACGGTCAGGCACGCGGCAGCAGACTGGATCCTAGGCCACGCGGACGACTTTTCGGGCTTCATGGAAGACCCGTTGCCGGAGCATGTACGCAAGATTAGAGAGACGGGCGAGTGGGGTGGCCATCTGGAACTGCTAGCATTGGCTCGGACATACGGTCTAAGGATATGCGTGCTGCACAGCGATGGGCAGGTGGACCGGATAGAGGCCGAGGACGAGGTCAAAGAGAAGGAAGAGATCTGGCTGGGATACTACAAGCACAGTCACGGTCTAGGCGAGCATTACAACTCGCTACGCAAGGTTGGATGAGGCTACCAGGGATGTGCAACCTCTCATCAACCTGCTACGCTCAATGCCATCTCTGCTCCTCCGGACAATCTACCTTGTGTCGCCACATACTCACGCAGTCTCGTACGAGACCTTTGATCACGCCAGCATCGTGGGTTCTCCTGGGCGTATAGTGCGCGATCTTGACCAGCGCGTTGTCCGCCTCCTCTCTATCCGTTTTTGTCACCACTCCCTGATCGTCATACGAGATATCCTCACCTGGCTGCTTGAGCAGCTCAGTGTGTACAAGCGGCGGAAGCGACCACGGAGGGCCGCCAGAGGATGCGGGCTTATGTGTTGGGAACTCGAGACAGATGAGGACACCACCCGTAGACGGGGAGTTCGCGGTCGGGCGGCGGAGAAGCGTGGTCATTCGAGATGCCCACTTTGGCCTTAGCGACTTAGGGAGCGCGCAGAGGAACTAAACATCGCATCAGTACAGAACACCAGGCAATGTTCACGAGGCACGTCTGGGACTCTACTCACCGTAATGTCGTAGATAATGTCAAATCCTTCATCACCCTCCCAGCCCTCTACATCTACCAACCAGCCATCCTCAAAGAAATCCCCACATACAACGTTCGTCGCCCCTTTACCGATCTTCTCATCTGCCACCTGGTATTCTCCTTCCAATGGGCCCTTGCCAGCGTCCTTTAGATAACCCCTCGCGGCCTCAGCAGCATGCGAGGACACCTCCAGCCCATAAGCGTCATATCCATGCGCCGCGAAGAGCGCTATATCGTATCCCTTTCCACACCCCGGCACAAGCACCCTCCTCCTCTTCTTATCGTCTCGTAGAGGTCCAGCGAGTGACGCATAACCCGCCGATTCGCTATTTGGTGGTGGTGCGCCGAGAGAAGGATTTGGGTCTGGGGACGACAATGGGCGACCACGCTCCTGCAGCAGGTCAATCAATGCGGGGTTCGCGTGACCACGATCCCAAGGTAGGAATGTAGAGTCTCTCCATAGGTCGTCCCAGCGGTTGTTGTGTTCTTTGTCGGGAGTCGAGGAGAAGTGTGTTCGGAGGCGGTCTTGGTTCTGGGTTGCCATGACGTGGGCAATCAGCTTGTGGTATATGGCGAGGTCGATTGAGTTCGTATCGAAGACCAATGGCTTGATGGTGTCGTGGGATAGCTCTCGACGATGACGGAATGAGGAAGCCGAGGCCACGATGGGCCCTTCCAAGCCATTTTGAGCTAACCCATCGTTACCCCGCCAAAACTTGCTCGTGCGACAACGCCAAAGTGACGATAACGGCCTTGCAGATGCGATCGAATCTTGCGCTGTCAACCTCAAGGGTGTTTGCACTTCGCTGGCAGATGCACACACATAAGCATCCAACGGGCTGACTTCGCTGCGGCCCTACGACAGATACGACAGATCTACACCAGGCACATCCCGTGCCGTGAAGCTCCAATTACCCGGATCGCAAGCATGCTTCCTACTGGGCCCACCCTTGCTTCGGATATAATTAATGCGATTTGTTTCCGCATGGCAAACCGCCTGTCTCGGCAGTCTCTTCTGCTTAGTTATCGCTCAACAACCGCGTTTCGCTGGGTTTCGTCTGGAGTCATGGCCTGGTTTGACTTTTCTTCGCCCACATTCCCCGTGTTGAGGACACGCTGCGGTGTACATAGCGTACAGGTACGCGTTGATAGTATGCTGAAGAGCTAGAGATAGCGGCTGTCGACAACCGAGGTATTACGACGCATACGGAAAAGAGCAGGTGCACGCGGAAATCAATGCAAGCTGTCGATTGACATAACCTTGTGAAGATCGGGAAGTTGCGTTACTTGGCTTCCTTTCTTTCTTGTCATTTTTGCAACGGGCGATGATGGCAGACGACGAGAAGGCAAGATCGCCTTCCGGGATGTTGAAACAGGAGAATGTGCCGGACCGAGGCATCGAAGAAGAGACGAAATTAGAACAAGAAGAAATATCGGAAAAAGACATGCTAGAAACAAGCAACCAAGGGAACGACGACACAATGTCAATCTCGTCATCACGAGCGTCAACGGCTTCAACGCACTCCATCAATGCCGACCAGCCGAGAACATCGAATACGAAACAACGTCCAGTTACTCTGGCAAGAACCACCTCAGTTCTACCCGATGCCGTTATTATTCCACGATCACAGCGCCGTGGACTCCTTGCGCGCTTCGCGCTCATCCCAGAAGTTGAGAACCCAGAACACTATGCGCGGCAAACGAAATGGCTTCTCACATTTATTGTCGCCTTCTGTGCCATGGCAGCACCGATGGGTAGTGCAATCGTTATGCCAGTGTTGCAAGAGATCAGCGTAGCTTTCAATGCAACGGAGACAGTAACCAACATGAGCGTTGCTGTGTACATGCTTAGCATGTCAATTTTCCCGTTGTGGTGGAGCTCCTTCTCAGAACGATTGGGTAGACGAACGATATACATCACCTCGTTCATACTCTTCGTATTGTTCGCTATTCTCTCTGCGATCAGCACAAGCATCGCTATGCTGATCGTCTTCCGTGTTCTGTCTGGAGGCGCAGCGGCATCCGTACAAGCTGTAGGCGCAGGGACTATCGCTGATGTCTGGGAGACGAAAGAGCGCGGAAGGGCAATGGGCATCTTCTACCTTGGACCACTCTGTGGACCTCTCTTCGCGCCCATTATCGGTGGCGCTTTGGGGTCAGGACTAGGCTGGCGATCAACACAATGGTTTCTGGTCATCTACGGCGGGCTGACACTGATCTTTATCATATTTGCTCTTCCGGAGACCCTGCACCGAAAAGAGAAACCGTCCGCCGACCCAACGGCCCTACCCAACAACGATGCTGGGAAAGAGCAAAGTACAACGCTCGGAAGAAGTACCACACGTGCCTCCACTGTCCAGAAGACTAAGAGCATATTACTACACCTACGCCACATCTTCATCGATCCACTGCGCATCATAGCATGGCTCCGCTTCCCACCCGTCTTCCTAACCGTTTACTACGCCAGTATAACATTCGGCTGCCTCTACATCCTCAACATCAGCATCCAATCCACCTTCGCCGCTCAGCCCTACTCCTTCTCCACCCTCATAATCGGCCTACTTTATATCCCCAACTCGGTCGGCTACCTCCTCGCCTCACTCTTCGGCGGCAAATGGATCGACAGCATCATGCACCGCGAAGCACGGAAAGCAGGCCGCTACGACGACAGAGGCAAACTCATCTTCCGCCCCGAAGACCGGATGAAGGAGAATGCGTGGATCGCTGCTATCCTCTGGCCTTCGGCTCTTATCGTCTATGGTTGGACCGCGGAGAAGGGTATCCACTGGATTGTGCCTATGATTAGTAACTTCTTCTTTGGCATAGGCAGTATGCTTATCTTTGCGTTGGTCAATACCATGCTCACGGAGTTCATGCCCAGACGCGCTGCGTCCGGAATTGCACTGAACAACTTCGTGAGAAATATCTTCTCTTTCACTGGCGCGGTGGTTGCGGAACCGATATTGAGTGCGATAGGAAACGGGTGGTTGATGACGATTCTGGGCATTTGGAGTGTGGTCACGGGGTGTATGGCGCTCTATGCGATGGGCAGATGGGGTGAGAAGTGGAGGGAAGCTATGGTCAAGGTTTTGGGGTGATTGATCAGGATTTGTAAATGATTGTGTTTAGTAGTCTCATGAGAAGTATCGTTCAGCATACTAGATGGTAGGCGATGTGATCGCGATAAAGATATCGAATCTCACACCACAAACGACGCCTCAACAAGAACTTCGTCTTCCTCGTCCAGCTCGCGCTTGATCTTCTCAGACTCGTCCAATATTGTCCGTTCGATCGCCGCGTATGCGGAGCCATAGACAAGCCGCCGGTCGCCATTGTCGCTCACCGTACGCTGTAAGATGTGTGTCTCATTCGCCAGTCGCGACACACTGCCCATTGCTCGGCGCCGTTGCGGAAATTGGTTTCACCCAAGTCACCAGAGCTCGCCGAACCAGCTTTTGCGATGTTGAAGCCCCGGCCGGTGTAATAGGATCCTCCACCCATTCGGCAGAAGAGTTCCTCGCTCAGCCGATACTCCATTTCGTCCGCCACATGGCAGATTGTGTAGCTTTTGGTTTCGTAGCTGCGTGTTATCGATCCTTCAGACTTCAGATACTTGCCGACGTTGGTGACAGCGCCATGATGCAATTGGTAGACTTTTGCGAAGCATGCTGGTTCATGCGGCGGTGAGGGTGGCTGGTGACCCCAAAATACTTGAAGGGATTGTTCACGACCGACTGGCTACTGCCACTGTCAGGGTTGTGTTGGAGCAGATTTCGATCTACCGCCTCGCAAAACGTTTCAATGCGCTCGGCACGAATCTGGCGCCCAAGGTCGCGGTGACGACGTTGCTTGATCTCAGCAGCGCTGGTGTGTCCACGAGTCTGGCTGTCGATGGTGGCGTTCTGTTGGGCTGATCGGGGGTCTCCGGAAATATGCAGGCGTAGGTGGTCGACGATCAGCTCAATGTCCTGCTGGCTGGGAGGGTTGCCCTACTTGTCGACATATGCGCGCATGTACAGCGTGGGCACAAACTTATCAGAGAGCTCGCTGTCTCGCTGGGCCCACTGAGACTGGTCTGCAAACGGTGTGCTCTTGTCATCATACAAATTTACCTATCGCAACAGCGGAAGTGACAAGCCTCCAATCGTACTTGCTTTGCTAACGTAGGATTCGCTCGTGCGCCCCAGAGCCGTGGCTTCCCAAAACGGTCTCAAAGCCAAAGGAGCTTTGCATTCGAGGATTGATCAATCTCTCCAGCCTGAGATCCTCCGTTCCAACTCTGGGTAACAATTCCGCTACCATTACAATCTGTGGGGCCGATTACGGAGACGCACCATGAGCGATCATAAGAGACAACGAAGCAACGAGGCGGGTCTCTTCCGACCACGCTCAACCCGCCGCGCAAAATCGCTAGACTCTTCTAGCTTGCACTGGTCACTGCACGACGCAAATACTTCACAAGCCCATCGGACACAGCTGCGGCGTCTCGCGCAACCTGCAGACAACCCCCTCCTTCATTTAACCACCATGACACCATTTCCTCTTCTAGATACGAGATCATCGTATCGCGTATGCTCTCCCGGCATGCCGCGACTGCCAGTACACACAACTCGGCATCCACACAACCCGGCATCAAGGCTTCCGCGAGTGGCTAGCCGGCGGCTTTGTGCTTGAAGTTCATCAGATACTGCGGGAAGCCTCGGTTCGCTACTACGATGTCGAAGTAGTCATCCGAAAATCCTTCAAGACACCCGGTCCGGACAGCGAGTACAACAAGACTGTAATTATTCTAGCGGATATGTCGGTGGCAGATGCCCACGCCAACTGAGCTATCGCAGCACGGAAGATTCTGGAGCGGTTGATAGCCCTGGGGCGCGACGACATAAAAGTCGAGATCGTGGACGTCGAAGCCGCCTTGGAGTTCAATAACGCCGTCGTTGAAGACGACGAAACAGTGCAAGCGTGGCATGATGTCCACAAACACGACACCATTCGATGAGGACAGTCTAGGTAGATATACGGTAGAAGATAGCTCATGATGATAGAGCTGATGTAATCTATAGGCTCATTCTCTATCAGCAAGTCGAACTTGCGCATGATGTTCACATCAGCTCGACGATGGACAATCGAGTCATGAGAACTGCAGGTCATTAAACAACTTCACTGGTTGTCTATGCGACTAGATATACAGGGCACCTTCAGTGTGCTTTCAAGTTCGGGTATATGTCGAAGCTACATAAAACAAAAAAAAACATATTTTAGGCCTGAAGCATACGTTGTCTCAAACATCACTCACTTGTTGACATCTGATGCTTTGTATGCGGCAACCTCGTATCAACCCACTAAATCCGTCATCTTCGATTGACTCAACGATCTCTCAATTCATTGTACGTTAACACACGAAAGGCAGCGCAAGGCATTCCCTCCGCGATTCGCTCCGTCCCTGACTAGATCGTCTCAGTTAAAGGGAGAACACCACGAAGCTCCTTAAGGCAGTCTTCCATTTCTGACTTCCATCTGCTTTGTGTAAACATGAGCAGCATGAGGACATTTTTGCGAAAGGTTGATATCTCGCGATTATCGGCAGTGGTTGCGAAAGTAGCGACCCGGTGATCCAACATCATCTGTATCTTCTGCTCGGGACTTTGGTTGTCGAATTCCTGCAGGAGTTCTTGATCAAGGTCCTTTCCTTGCTCTTTGTATGCGTCGATGAAGGAACTGATTGTTCTCTCCGCTGGCTCCAGATAAAGCTCAGCCGCCTGGATTAGCATGCTGCCGTACCAATCATCTGCTGCTACCAGCATCTCGTAACGTTGCGTGATTTCCAACTCTTCATTCTTCAAAATGGAGTCGGTGTACTTGGGTAGTCCTTTCAATTCGGTAATAGCCTCTTGGAGGAGGACCGAGGCGGCCCGCGCCTTCCTGGCTGGTGGAACGGTTATATGAACTAGCGCAGTGGTACCCTCTGGGGCGGCGGAAGACTGGTTATTTAGTTTCATCGTCCACTCCTCAAAGGAACCCAGGGGCCCAATATCGTCGAGACTGGTCACGTTGGCCTTTGTTGTAAGTTAGATCGTGGTAATGCATTCGGGAAGCATACCTTACGTAGATGTTCTCTGATTTGATGTCTAAGAGACCCTGGGCAACCATTCTGTCCAACTCCTCCTTCTGGTTGGCCAACTTTCCCACAAACTGAGTCACTTCATCCGCACGTTCCTTCTGGCTTGCTGACCTTCGTTGGAACTTCCCTTTGATATCGTTTCCAGTCATGCTAGTGGCGTCGTAGTATTGGCTCGGTTGCACGTTGGTTCAGAGCGGACTTCGGGAGTGTGAATCAGGTCAGGCTCTGTGCAGGAGAAAATCGCAAGCTTTATTCCAATCGCGTGCTTGATGTCCATTGTTTGTGGGTTGGGCACTGGGACCGTCGCGTTCAAGCGCTCCTCGATTGTCTGGTTGTTCATGCTAGATCAGTGATCACCGGCTGAGTTAGAGTAAAGCACACCTGTGCGGTGGCAGTCTGCATGGTACTGATAGCTGCGCCAACACTTGCTCTGGGTTTGATGGGACTGTGACTGTTTACGTCCATACATAGCTACAGCTTACATCGTAACTGCTGATGGAGACGATGCGACTGGAGTACCCATACTCTGGCAAAGTTTGCGATGGTTCTACAGATGGATCAAATAGCGCGCAAGGTGATATAATATCAGTCAAAGGTGTCGACGACGCGACGAGCAGGGCGCACTCTGGTCTGACTTGGTCCGGAGACATCAGGCTCAGAGCCAGAGTCATCCTCGACAAGGTAACGAGAAGGGCGCACTGTGGTGGTCGAATCTGAATGCGGGAACGACTGCGGCACATGATAGGGTGTCGAAAAGATTGGAGGGTATGGCGTCATGTAGGCGGGCGCGTTGTAGCCATAGACGCCTCCTTGAGGCACTGAGTAGCCATATGCCACAGGCATTGGTGTCTGCTGATACCCATACTGCGCAAATGGGGGATACTGGAGACTCTGACTTGACACTGGGGGATAATAGCCAATTTGTGTCTGCACAACGACAGTCGCGTCGGGCAACCTGAGCACTTGTTGCATCCGCGAAGATGCTTCGATACCTTGAATGTCGGAAGGGGTGTTGTAGCGGGGCACCACTTCTATTTCTTCATCTGAGCTGTCTGCCAGACGCGCAGGCAGGCGCTTGGGAGAAATAGCGTTGGATATGGTTGTTGTGGCTGGTCAATGTTAGATAGTGACACCGGTGAACCGAATTAAGGGTTATGCTGCTTACCAGACATGTGAGCCTGTCTATGAGAGAAGCGCGTGAATGCCTACCTAGATTAGGCACAAGGCTGACATAATGGTGCGATACGATGATTGAAAGCTGAGTACACCAATTCGACGACGTTACGCATTTGCTACTTCTACGCTACTTCCATATGTATGTTGATTCCACGCGCAAGTCATGGAGAGAGAAGAAGAAGCAGAACTAAAACCCAGTAGAACCAAGCAGATAGACCGCTTTGATGACGAGCGATAGACTGACGTAAAGTGGAGTCAAGGACTAGCAAACGTGAGGAAACGTTTTAGAGACCAAGCAAACCCGCTCAGACGAGCAAGAGATATTCAGTACCCGCTTGAGGAAAGCAAGAGAACGACTAAATGAACCGAATGATGAAAAGGTGAAGGTGGCTCGAGAAAGCTATGACAAGTAAGATAGTGATCACATCATCCAGAATTCCAAGCTTTGCCAGGAAGCCGACGTATCGCGCTTCGGGTATACAAAGAGCATCGCCTCGCTGTAGCCATCCTGTTCGTACATTTGCAGAAAACAGCAGACGCGGTTCGGGGTTCTTTGGCAGGTCGCGCAGCAGTAGGACGGATCCTTTCTTGGCAGTCCTCCAAGCGTGCTTCTAGCCAGCACTGTCGTGACCATGCACTTGACCGCTTTCAAAGACCGCGTTTGGTTCTCTTTGGCCAAGTATCTGGCATAATGCATCCTTCCAAGATCTGACTGGCTACATTCAGCGACTATAGCAGCGACCAAAGAGTCTGCAATATGTGGAGGGAAGTCACGAAGTTGCCTATACGTGGGCCTTCCGCCATCACTCGCGGGGACTACAAAGATATACCGTACGAGACGAGCCTCCCGACTCTTCTTTGGTCTAGTGCCCGTACGCCTTTTGTTTTGACGGGGTAAGGGTTCATCGTTCACTCGCTCATCTGACGATGCCTCGTCGCTGATGGTAATTTGAGTTTGACTTCGTTGCGAACGGGCTTCACTTAAGCCTTCTGAAGCCCTACGGGATGCAGATACGTTACCTGTGAGCTCTCGTGAGTGGGCACCTGCAAGCCTAGAGCTTTGGCGAAATTGTAGGCGTGGTCGATCGAGTCGCCTTGCTTCTGACTCTCCGTCAAGACCTGACGTGGCATCAGGTGAGCTATCATTCATGTACTGTCTGGGACGTTTACGCGATGAGGCTGTATCATGACCTAGCGGTTCGAAGACGATACTCTGCGAGCCGCTCGACTTCTCTGTTTGACCGAGAAGCTCTGGAAACTGAGAAATCGCTGTCCTCAAGCCGATGATCTGGCTAGCTGTCGTCGAGCCTTGCTCTTCAGGTCTCGTGGTCCGATCTTCAGCCTGCGATGCTGCTGATGAGGCGTGTTGGGCGGGCCTGTCAGATGGGAGTAACTTGGGTTCAGTGCTCTTCTTCTCTGTCTCGAGTTTCTCATGTTGAAGCTTGGCCAGCTCCCCTCTGGTCCTTGTAAGCTCACCTTGAGTCCATGCAAGCTCCTCTTTGGTCCGTTCGAGCTTTTGTTGGGCCTTGAAGAGAGCATCGGCATCAGCCTGAGCTTTGGCGTTGCCATCCACGTTATCTATGGCTTCCATTATGGCTTCGGGCTCAGCAGGATTGCCCTCGATTGGCATGTCAACCGACTCCTCTTGCAACTCCTCGGTGGCGGATTGAGTGTCGATGAAATCGTTCCAGTCATCATAAAGCTGGCCCACCTGCAATTCGTATTTGCGAAGGTGATCCTGCTGCAAGAACTTCCACAGATCCTCTTCAAGATCTCGCATCTCGCTTTTGTTCTTGTCCTTGGCTTTGCGGAACCGCTTTGTGACGAAGTCAACGATCATCTCCGCGTATTCACCTAACACACGTCAGTATGGTGCATCTATGGAAAGATCTGAGAGAGCTACGATGATCTCGCCGAGGTCGATCAAGCCACCAATTCGCTTTGCTGGCTGTGAAAGCCTGATCTCGATATACTTGATCGACGTTGTTCTCTTGATAAGAGTGTGTGGGTCTAGCGTCTTTTCTATTGTCAGTGGCGGCCTTAGCGAACATGCATAAAGATCGCTCACCTGGAAACTGACCAGGACCAGTCTGATTACCGAAAGTATCACCAGTGCGAAAGCTGAAGTCAGACTGGTAGGCTTGGCTGGGGTAATCATAGCTAGGTATGCCCGCAGCCTGAGGATACTGGCCTGGCAAACCAAGAGACTGCATTGACTGGTATCGGGGCCTCGTCTGTGATATAAGGTCTGTTTTGTGGCGCATCCTTTGCGCATCGAATGGCGAGTTTGTCTTATCCAAGGCAGTGCGCGCTTTACGCGACGCACTTGACTGTTCGTGTTGCTCGAGTGGCGGAGCCTGCATGGTTTCAGCTCTTCCTGCAACCAAACAACAAGGTGCGGGTAGTTACCATAGGACGTGACAAAGTGGACGCGAGTGAGTAAGCTGCGGTTGCAATATGTTGTGGCTGCCAAGGCTCGGGACGCCCATGCTAGCGCGGGAAATGGCCATACTGAAGTTGCAGACTGAGCGCCACGTTTACTTTTGCAGTTGACGAAAACCGTTTTTAAGTAGATAGCGTTTAGTAGAGGTACCAAGCCCTCGCGTCAGTCCTGAAGTTAGGATATTAAGCATTAGCTCACGTGTTGGAAATACCCAAAGCAGCTCCTGGGTAGGAAGGCTTAAGAACAGCTTATAGGTCGGAAGACTCTGCGTGGAGCCCAGGACTTGCGAAGCCTTCCCAGGACCGGACGAGCTGACACAATGGGGCAATGCGACAAGTTCCTAGTACTTGAGCTTTGATAACGCTATGCATACGCTATGTATCTGGTACTTACCGCGCGTACGTTGGTATCTAAGAGAAGTTGTGGAGATGAACAGAAAGACGACTCATCTAGGCCGCGATCATCTCAATCGCGTCGAGACTGATACTGGGACTCAAATATCCCGTAGACGTCTTTCCAGAAATGACAGAGATCTTCAATATCTGATACTCCCTCGCGCTCTTCACCCACGCACTTGCCGGCACACTGTATTCATAAACGTAGTTGTTGCCGCGGTAGGTTCCAACAGTCAGACTTCTGGTATCACCCTGACCCTTATCCGACTGCAAAGCAGCGGTCCAGCTATTTACCGCAATCGCCGGTCTTCCACCAGACATGCCCTCTGTGACACCGATTCTGATCTTTGCGCCATTGGCTAGTTGCGCATCGCTGAGGCGGAAGTAGACGAGGTGGTCGTTGTTGATGTCTTTCCACATGTAGCCGGGGAAGTTCCCGGCGCTACTGGTGCCCACGATGTAGTTGCTAGCGTCCCATTTGGCGAGCCGCGAATCGGATGGATGCATGTATGTAGGCTTCATGGGGCTGTCGCCGAAGTTCAGGAAACCCTTAGGTGTGCCGTCCCATTCGCCGATTCGCCACATGACAGCTGTATCTGACGGGTCGTTACAGGTGATCGTGTTCAGCGCTACGGTTCCTCCGGCAGTGACTGTAACAGTGCTAGTGTGAACCTCGAGTTCCTACAAGATCGAGTGAGTTCACATTGTATCAAAGTGCTGACGGCTGGCTGTACTTACACCCTTGTATACAGTCAACGTGTACGAGCCTGGCAGGATCTTGCTGATTCTCCAGGAGCCGGATGATGCAATTGTCCAGTATTGCGCTTGGGCACTCTTCAGACCGACAACATACTGGTAGCCGTTCTTTACGTTGGCCAAACCAACGCCAGCGACGGCACCACGTTGACTAGCAGGAACCCAGCCGTCGATTCCAAGGGAGTCCATCCAGTCCCAGTTAGCGTTGCGAGCAAAGAGAGCGTTGCTCGGTGCGGCACCGCTATCCGTGAAGTGGAGGACGGAGGGACCTTGCAGGCCAAAGCGCATCACATCAGTATGACCTATAGCACATTAGCAGATGTCTTGGTCTAGATCGAGGGTGACTTCACGTACCCATGTTGTAGTGGTAGATATCATAGAGATCCGGGCCACCACTACCTCCGCGGCGCACCAAGCTTCGGAAGAATGGCCCGCCCGATGCCTTCTCGTGGTTTGACCTAATCATGTACATGCCGACGTTTCGATTGGTGTATCCAACCCAGTCGTAATCCATAGTGCGTCCATACAGCTTGCCCGAGTAATGTTTGGACCATGTCTGACCGTTGAGCCCGTTGATGTCACCTGACTCGATGGCAGTCGCGCCATCCGGAACCCAGTCCGTGTCTTCGTTGATGTTGTTGGTAAATATGTTCGGCGGGATGCGAAGGATGTATCGCGATACAGTGATGCTGCTGTCTTTCTTGTTCATGAAGATATAGACGTTGGGGTTGCCATAGCGGAAGACAAGAGTGTGAACGAGCGTTCCTACTTTCATCGTCACCTTGATGACGTTGGTGTATTGCTGGATGGTGACGGTGCCGGGTGCGAGGCCAGATTCCACCTGCGAATTCTTCCCATTCTGGCCGTTGTACTCAACGCCACGGTACTTGATCGAAGTCATGTCGGCGTTTGACTTGCTGACCTTGACGACTAGGTTCGCGTTCGTATCGATAACATAGTTTTTGCCGTCATCGGTGTAGCCCCAAGCTGCAAAAACAGCCGTAGGGGCCAGAAGCAGAGCAGTGACGGTCGCTAAGAACCGCATCTTGAAGGCTGACTGATGGAAGACAGCGAGCTGGAAACCTCATGTAGATCCATTGTACAAGACGGCTTTATAGCAATGTACTTGCTTTCCCACGTGTGTGCGCAGATGGTTACCACACACCATCACAATACCATCTTTCCCGGTGGTAGTATTGTAAACTCCACGTTAGTTACCCAAATCGAGCTGGCTCCGCCATTAGGATAGAGCACCTACGCCTTGCGGAGTAGTGCATGGTGCTGATTGTACAGGAGCCGAGCATGGGTATATATCTAGCCAGCGTTTGTAGTACTACTCCGAGTCTAGCACGTCTAGTACCCGCGTGCGCGCCATATCATTGGTGGGGATGGCTTTCGGTGTTTCGAAGCAAATCCGGGGAAATTCTTGAAATTAAGAAGGAAGCTTGGTAGGCATTAGCACCACCGAGCGCACAAGTGAGACAGGCCATCATGAGCCATCGTAGAGGCAAAGTGGTGCGGATAAACTTTGTGCAGAGGTGAAGCGGGGACCATGATGTGGATTGAAGATGGATGGGCTTGCAGGAGTAATGGATGAGGGCGAGAGGGAAGGGCGATGTCGCGGGCCGAGGTTACGCCGATTGGTGATGTTTGCAGAGCTAGACCCCGTGCCTTGTGACTGCCCCTCATGAAAGGCAAATGCCGTCGTGATGCACAACTTCAACATTTTCTTCTCGACACAACTTGTACAAGTCCACGCCGAACATGGCGCTACATCTCGTTGAAGGACAAGATAAGAAGGTTTCGACAGATGCTTTGGGCCACAGATGTCTGAAACTTTCAGGCGTCCAGGCACATGCCCGCTGTGTGCTGGCGATCCTGTCGTAATCTACGAATGCCATGCTTTTTCTTCGGCGCGTAGTCAAATATGGTTTGCATCCGAACAAGTTTGGCTTTTTGTGTCAATCTGTACGAGGAAGCTTGGTTTTGGACGCCACAAGGTTTACTTTCCCGCCGTCACATGTGCCATCTCATCGCAACTCGCAACGCATTCCCAGCCTGACACTCAGGCAAGCACGCCGTTGACGTCCAACAAACTTCAAGTCGTCAGCGTTGGTTCTACAGAATTCACAGAATGAGGCGTCGTGACTCACTTCTCATCCTCACGCATACGCGTCAGTAGCAAGTCCTTCCGATCGGCAGGCTGATTCTTGACCCTGTCAATCTCCTGTTGTGACAGCGGCTCTAGTAGAGTCCCTACATCCTGCTCAAGCCACATCTCTTTGGGCGTCTTGCTACCGTCGGCGAATACTAGGTTCGTCATTTGCGCCTTGAAGTCTCATGTAAAGCAGTTCAGAATAGCTTCGATGAAGTCAAGTGTACTAAAATGACCCAGTAGAGAGGATGCTTACTGGGTCCTCCTGCTGAGAGAACTTTGGGATCTGCAGTCAGCGAGAGTAGAACGCCTTCGTTACGTAGAAATGTGATGCCGAGGATATCATTCTTGAGGCTTTTGAGAATGCGCGTGACATCTTGCTGGAGTGGATCACTGGTGTCGTAGGATGGCACACATCTCTGGGCGGATGGTTGTTCTTCAGTGTTTGAGTCGGTCAAGATGTTCAAGGTGGAGATGAGGGAAATAACTTTTGATCGATTTCGGGGTATAGAAAACATAAAAGGGTATGATGCCATGACGCCGCCCGTAGCGACTGCAGATGAGCGTGGTTCGTCACTGGGCGGCCATGCGCTTACAAACAGATTGCCCTCCCTAGAAAACATTACAAGTAAATGAGCGCTGCGCCCTGTTACAATCATAAATAGCCATGCCCAAGATGGCATACAGCTCTGACGTGAAGTGCAGGACGTAAGCACTAAGCGCAGGATGCGCATTCGCCCCAAACATTATCAATTCGTCATTATGACATGCGAGGCGCCCTGTCGATGGACATGCGAGCAGCTGCGATATCCATAGACATGCGGGGAGCGCGGCTGTCAATGGAGTGCCTCGATAGCTGGTAGCTCATGCGCCAATCAAGCGGCAGGCGACCTTCATTTGTAGTCCGTCGAGAAGCGTGGCCGATAACGACGTGCATCTCGAACTTGTCCAATCCAGTCTTTTGCAAGTACGCTTCGTATCCCTCAGACTTGGAGGCCCGCTTCATCCACTCCTCACTCACGGCCGATGGGTAGACTACGCGCAGCAGGGGCTCGGCACCACGGAATCGGTAGTATTGTCGGATGTCGTCGTGGGGAAACAGGTGCAAGTCGATCCTCTTCATCGGCCCGTTGACTGCGGTAAGCCAGCTTTGGTTGCTGTTGGCAGGGTTTGGTAGCAGCTTGTTAAGCTCGCCGACGATCTCAGAGATGCTGCGGAAGACAACTCCCTCTGTGGAGGTGAAACGACAATCGGTGCGACGCGTGCGGACAAGGCATCGGATGAGCGGCAACAGGTCAATGGGCTCCATGTCGAAGCACGCAGCATCGATGTCCAAAGAGACATGGCCCTTGAGCGAATCAATCTTGACCAGGTTCGACTTCTGGCTCCACAGGTCGATGATGTAGTGTGCCTTCTCCGCGTATATCGGTAGGAACTCCTCGCGAAGCTGGTGGCATACCTGCGTAAGGTTGTAGTATTGTCTCCGCTTGGTCGGGGTGGCTTCGCCTTCGCGTTGGACCAGTGCCGGATCATCGTGACGGCACATCCTGATGGGCACCTCCTCGCTCATGCGCTCGTAGATGCGGTTCCTTATCTCTGTGTGATATTAGCGCGTGTGTGCATTTATGGGCTAGGGAGTAACATACCTGGCGGCATGTCGAGGAAGCAAAGTGGTGCGGTCTTCTTGGGTGCCGGGATGTCTTCAACAACATCGTCAACGTCGGAACTGGTGGATGTGACTTCATCGATAGCCAGTTCTGGTGTCTCATCGTGTACAGACGGGGTACTCGGTTCGGGTTGCTGCTCGGGGGTGATCGCACGGGTTTCTGGTTCAGGTGTCGCACATCGCACAGGCGCAGCGGCGGCAATGTCGTGGACTTCAGGCTCGACTTGGGTATAGGCGACGGGAGTCGAGTTCCACGGCTCCTGTTCAGGGGTGGCGCAGCGAACAGGCGGGGTGACTGCACGAGCATGGTGTTCCTCGTGCTTTTGGTCGAGTTGCTGCGAAGGCTCCTGCTCCTCGGCTACTGACGATGTGTCTTGCTTTGTGGCGGATGTAGCTGTGACTAGGACCCTCTGTTCGACCATCCATCCTGCACTTGGTTTCGACTTCTCCGAAATGACAGCCAGCTCGACATCATCGTTCTTGCTGCCGCGACTCTCAACACTAGACCGTACACTTGCGCTCACTGGATTCGCGGCGCGCTCAAAACGGTCTTCATTGGGCGCGGTGATGTCGCTCGGCTTCTCAATCGTGGGGTGAAGGGTGGTTGCAGTAGTTCCATGCGCGTTGCTGGGCTCGGGCGTCGCGTCGTTTGTTTCAAGCGGCTCTGTTGACGTCTCACGCGTCCGTCTCGCCCGACCACAACTGAAAAGGTCGCCCAAAAACGACATGGCTGCTCTTCCACACCACCACGGCGAGTGCGTGGGTATTAGGAATAAGTACTGTGGGCAAGTCGCACAAAAGTAAAGAGACCGGCACAACCGTCTATTGGGGCACCTGCTAGCTCATATGTTTCTTCAGTCAGGATTGCGGCATCGAGTGAGAACAAAGGCTAAACCCTTTCAATGGTCGATGAAACGCATTGGGCGAATGAAGTCGTCGGTAAGATTGCTATCACACTGAGATGACCGGGGTGGGGCACGTGCTTTGCCCCTGATCAGCGCCTTCGATCCCCACTTTCGATGAGGCTTATCTTATCTGCCTTGCAGCGGCAGATTCACAATTCCAGCGCCTGGCATCATGCCCGCATCTTGTCCGGCCTGCCGGTAGTCGCCGGGACGGTGCGCGCAGGTGATGTGTCTGGCGCAACTTACATGTCGATTAAGGTTGCCATGAAAGTTTGTCTGTGACCCGTTCACACGCGGTCAATGGGCTCATCTCGGACTAGCGAAAATCGCCGAAGAAAAAGCTTCGGTCACTTGAGCGTCCATGGCGGAATTATTTGATTCTCTATACCTTTATTGTCTAACGCAAAGCTCTTCGGGTACGTGCATGCTTGACCAGACATCGCAGCCTAACGATTTGCGGAAATGTCCAACGCGCGACGTCATTGCCAACCACGATCCACCACCACGGGAACTGTCAGGCCGGAGCACCTCATCAAATATTCTCGGGCCATCTTCGATATGCGACATACATACGGGAAAATGAATATACGATACCAGACGATCAACAAATACTGGCAGGCCACGATCCACCGGGACTAAAGACGATCTGCAACGATTGGACCCATCTGCAGGGCAGCAGCTCCCTTCTCAACGTCTCCCAGCATTTTGGCGTTCTCACGCATCTTGCAGTACGTCCAAGCCGCCACCTGGAGCGCCAGTAACCCGGTCAAGATCTCCGAGTTGTTGATATACGTAGTGTATGGCGCGCCTTCATTGTGTGGGTGATAGTATCGGAGGCACAGGACGCGTACCGCGTTCTCGAAGAGGTGGTAGTAGGCTAGTCGAATGATCGCGTCCTGGGTTGATACCAATTCTGTCGTATTCCAGATCATCGTCCAGTCGAATCGAGGCTTGACGATATGGTTGCGGTCGGTTGCTGCGGGATCACCAGACACGCCTTCCCAAACATTGTTGAGGAATGTTCCCAAAGACGTACATTCCCAAGCACGGAGGTCAATGAAATCTGTAAGGACGAGGATGTTCAAAGGTGATATTGCAAGCCAGGGAATAATCCAGTCTAGGGATCGCAGCTTCAAATGCAGCATACCTGAGAACATGGCTAAAAATCGCACGATGAGGCTGGTAGCTAAGAGGCAGTGAAGAAGCTGGTGCTTCGTTTTCTCCAATGAGCGCGAATAGCAGGTGGAGAGTCCGATGAGGCTGAAGGAGATGAAGAGCCAGGTGAGTTGGCTGGGTGCTTCGAACATGTCTTTCATGATATTTGCTGCGTCTTCTGAATGATGAAGATCTCCGTACAAGTACTCATGATCTGATTTTCTCAAGTCTGGTATGGATTGCCTACCAAAAAGAATGTCGCATGCGGCAAGTGAGATCAGCCATGGTAGTATTACTAAACACCCAGTAGTGCCGGTCAGCATGATGTGTGTTTAACGGTGCGATCGACGTCGGAATTTGTTGAATGTGGAAGGTTGTGGCGTGAATATTGGAGGGTGCATGTTGACTTTATCTAGGATGGTGTACGCCTATGTCTTCGGCAGGTCCGCTACCACGAACCATCATTGCGTCCGTCCATGGTTCGGCGGTATCACGACCAAGACAGTAGACCAATCATATTATGAGTCTGCGTAATCATAGTGACGAAGCGTTCCCTTCGACCAATGCGCGAATGTGTGAATAAACTTACCAATATGGACTAGCGCATTATGGCGGACGCCCCCGAGGTCACTCTCTCACCAGGTTCTTCAGTCATACGTATCAACTCCCACCGGTTACCACAGCACACAACTACAACCAAACTTCAGCCTCGACCCGCACCATCTCGCAGTCGCCATGCAGACAGAAAACACGCACTCACTGCGCCGACTTGGTACCAAACAAGATGCGACAAAGCTCGGCTTTATGGATCTACCCGGAGGTAAAGCAGCAACTCTTTAGGTCGACAAATACCAGTGCGCTAACATTCACTGCAGAATTGCGCAACACGATATACTCATACTGCAAAAAAATTGGACACGAGAGCTTTACTCGCGGATCACATTCGGTGCATGAGATCGGATATCGGACCTACTTCCATCTCTGCCAGGTCAACTACCAGATTCGGCAAGAAGCGCTTCCATTGCAATACCAGCACTTCACACATCGAGTCCCTCTCAGATACCTCGCCGCCTACATGGAGACATTTCTGTTACCGCATAAAGGACACTCCTTGGTCGGTAGTACCTCCTTCACCTTCCGCTGCGATGAAACCTTCCCTCGCGTTAACATAGCTCCGCTTATTCGAGTATGCAAAAGGCACCCGGAATTTGCCGTCAAGCTTAGCGGCATCAGCTCTGTCCGCCCTGTCAACCACTTGTTCCGCTCGTACTACTATCCAAGAACGCTTAGCAAGCGAGCATTGGATCTCGACACGCAGTTCCAAGAACTAATCAAGCACTCTCGAGTTCGATCTGCCGACTTGAACAGTTCCACTACCTCTCAGCGCCGATGGAGCAAGTTTCTCGGGAAATCTGTGGAGGAATTATGGATTCACTCTTACAGCAAGGAGCTTGACGTGGATATGATAGTCAAGTACGAGGCATCTGGGCCGTGGATGGACGATATTACTCAGTCCAACCGTCGGGCCGGCATCCCTGCTCACTGTCACCGCTACAAGAAGGAATACAAGGTATGGGTATATAAGAATCGGTTTCCAGGGTTCTTGATACAGAATGTAGCCTCTGTGATAAGGTCGGATAGCACCCGAGTTTAACTGCTCATCAACGACATGCACATGAAGTAGGCCTTCGTTTCGCTACTGAGATAGGCGTAGAATTTCAATACTTCAGCACACTCATACGGAGCTACGTGATTGCTCATTCAGTTCCGAACCAGCGTGACCCATTTCCATCTAACCCTGCTGCCACAGACTCGTAGTATGTCCCTGAAAGCTAACCCTGTCAATCTCCCTAATCTCCTCATTACTCAACCTCCACCCCAGCGCCGCACAATTGCTAACAGCCTGCTCTTCCTTCCTCACACCACATACCGGCGTAATACCCTTGCACATATTGTAGTTCAGCGCAGCAGCACTCTGAGGTACACCGCGCTTATCCGCAATCTTCTTCAGCACCGCGTTGACAGGCTCAATGTCCTTCATATCGTAGCTGGAGAAGCGGTATGACTTTGGCGGCGGGTTGTCAGATGTGTATTTACCCGTAAGCCGACCTTGGGCGAGCGAGGAGTAGGACTGCAAGACAATACCGCGTTCTTTGCAGGTCTGGAGGAGACCAGAAAGTTCTGGTTCGCGGCGGAGGACGGAGAACTCGACTTGGTTGATGGCGAGGGGAACGCCGTATTTGGCTAGTTCGTCTTGCATCTTTATCATGTCTGCGAGACTGTAGTTTGCCACTCCAACGGTCTTGGTCATGCCCTTTTCCACGCACTCGGCCATGCCTTTGGCGATCATGGGGATGGTTTGAAGGTGAATGGGGCCATGCACGAGGTATATGTCGATGTAATCGAGGCCGAAGTTCTTGAGTGAGGTTTCGAGCTTCTTGAGGGGGGCCATGGTGGGGTGGAGGACGTCTTTTGCTTGGGGTACGACAAAGTACTTGTCTTGCATGACGAAGCTGTCTCTTGGCATGTCCTTGACTAGTCTTCCGCAGATTGTCTCGCTCATGCCTGTGCCGTAGACTTGCGCGGTGTCGATGAAGTTGACCCCTTTGCTAACGCAGTGCTTCCATGCTGCGGCGACATGTGGCTCTTCCTCGTGCTTCCAGTGCCAGGTTGAAGTGTCGCCCCAAGGCCAGGCGCCGATGCACAGTTGCGGAGCGTAGACATCTCCGTTCTTGCCCTTGTATGTGAACTTTTTGTCGGCGGTTGGGATCCAGTCTTCTGGCATGACGGCTGCGAGACCATCAAAGGAAGGGTCGACCGGGTTAGGCTTGGTATGCTTGCCGCTGTGGATGCCAGTGACGGCTGACATCCCAGAGGATAGACCTGCTTGGAGGACGTGCTGCATCTTTGCGATTCGATAGTACTGGGGTTCTAGTACGACAAAAGAATCTTGCTTGGGACTGAAATCGAGACAGCGCGTCCTAATATCTATTGTTATACTCGCGCAGCATGTAGATCGACGACACGGCAAGTCGTCGGCATCATGGCGAGCACCTTGTATGATGCGGCGATGATTCTTACATTCATTTCCGGCCTATACGCAGCGGTTGTTCCTGCATGGGTACCACAAGTTTGGGAATAGAATCATATGACCCTAATGTATAGGCGGCAAAACGGCGGGATGTTTGAAGTGGATGTCGGGATGATGCGCGGGTGATGTCATGCCTCGACCACGTTCTGTTATGTGGGTACTCACGACCGAGACCTGCCAAACCAGTGTCAGAAGTGTAAGGAACGTCTTGATATCTTCCGGAGGCATATACTAGGACCTAAATGTACGTTCAGCGGTTGTCGTTGGTAGTCGCGGTCGTTCCTCGGTGGTGGCCGGGACCTATCCCCCGAAAAGGCAGTCGCGTTCACTTGTCACTGGAAGACAACAACGCGCATCAATCTCGATGTCTTGCGTTTTGCGACGCGTCGAGTTAGCATCTGTAGGCAAACTGGACAATGTGGCGAGACTGTCAAGGGAACAAGAGCGAAATTTTGAAGGTAGACTACTTCGTAGCCGGTGAACGTAAAAGCTTAATTCATATATACTGGAAAACATAAAGTCTTTACAAGATGCTGTTGTCTGCACATGTAAATGCGCCGTTGACATCTGTTGTGGCAAACGTGTTCATCAAAGCGCGGATACTGGCGTACATGCCAGGTACCATCATGAAGAGCGTGACCGACATGATGAACACGTTGAGAGCGGCCGTCGCAAGCTTCTTTGTACTTGATCGCCACTTGCCGTTCCAGTTGAGATGGAACCAGAAAAGCACAGTAACACCCCAGGTGAACCATGATAGCAGAAGCGCGGCGGAAATGTTGAGAAGGGAGCTGAACACCGGAATGGCGTTGGCGAGGATCCACACGACGACCCAGAACAGGGTAACCGAGAAGATCCAGACAGCCCATTCAGTCTTGTTACCGACGTCACCCATTGCGATGGAAGCGCGGCGGCCACGCGACGACCCGGACGCGCTAGATGAGACTTCAGCGTTGAAGCTTCCATCTTTCTTGGCCTGGCGAGTGCCGATCTCGCGCAGGAAGAAGACGTGCAGGTAGCGCGCGGCGGTCATGCCGAACACCAAACCAGTGCCAAGGAGTCCAACAAAGATGATTCCGTAAGCGACCTTTGCCATCAAGGGTTGGAGAGATCCGAGCGCTGGCGAAGCGACGGATTCACCGGAAAGGGCGTAGACGACCGCAGCGACGATGCAGTAGATAGTGGTAGTGGCGCACTTCTCAATGGTGACAGCGCGTGGGTAGTCGCGAGAGGGGTCCTCCATCTCAGCAAGGACAGTCGGGAACGCTTGATTGCCGCTGAAAGCAAAGGCGATGTTCAGGAACGCCGCGACAGCTTCAGTGAAGGTGGGACTTCCGATAGCTTTCAGGTTGAGAGGTGCTCCCGCATTGCGGGGACCCTGAACACCAAGCACAATCATGACGAACATGACGGCCGAGAAGATGGAGATGGTGCAGGGCCACGATGCCCATGACACGAAACGCATACTACGCGGTACGCACATGGCCCACATGGCAATGGCCGCAACGACCGAGAAGGCGACCGTGCAGGTCGCGTGTTCGCTGACGGTGTTGAGACCGATCGAAATAGTGACCACTGCCGATGCGCTGATGAGAGCCATGTTGATGAGGAAGCCAATGGCAAAGACAGCTTCGAGCCAGGGACCGCCGAGGACGCGTCCGTAGTCGACAATGTTGAGCATGTAAGGATACTTGCGCCAGTACTGAACGAGATTGTAGGCAGTGTACAAGCTAAGCATCCCCATACCGACAATGGCAATGATACCCGGGAAGAACCCAAGGGTGTTCAGAGCGGCTGGCAATGACAAGATACCGATGCCGATCTCATTGGTCATGAAGATGATGACAGTTTGTGTTGTGTTGAGTTTCTTCGTTCCTGCACTGCTTGTGGGGCGTTTGCTTGCATTCTGGATATCGGATACGTCGCCTAGGTTCGTGTCGTGTTCGGAGGAGGTTTCGAGCTTTTCGGGGTCTCCGTGCTTCTTTTGTCGCAAAGGGTCTTCCGGATCGTGAGTAGGGTCTGCTGCAAGGGCTACTGTAGGTCGCTGGGCAGATACGGGCAGATCATTGAGAGCTTTGGGCTTGTTGTCGAGGTCGTGTGTATGTTGCATGGGAAGGTTGCCGTGGGCAGAAGGGACGTCTTTGTGATCCATGGTTAGAGGGAGACCAAGCACTTACGCCTGCATGTACCGAGTGAGGGTTGTCGAGACGGGGGAATTGAAGTGACGAGGAAGATGCGACCAAGAAACGAACTTGTCAATGGAGACGTTTGATGAGGGCTAAGTTGAGAGGATAAATAGATGCGGGAAAGAACGATAGACTGGTCACAGCGCAGCGTGGAGGAAACCAAGGACATGGAGAATTACGTATCAACGCACATCGCACGCGGACCAAGACAGTAGCTGGTAGTAGCGTATCGTAGAATGCGTCCGCACTTTAACGGGGACTGTGCACCCAATGATGGCTGGACTTGGAGGCAGGGTCTCGTGGAGGCGTGGAGACGGAATGGTACTTTTATCCACTTCAGGTATGTGGGCCTCCCTAGATGCCGTATAGATGAAGCTGTTAGTAAAGGAACCGAGCTGGTGTTTCGCGAAACGCGCAAGTGCGGCACGCTGGGTCCTTCCGGACGATGCGCAGCCTTCCCACGCTGCCGTTCCTATCAAACGATGCAACGCGATGCGGAGAAGGGTCTTGGTGACGTCTGATGGTCATCCACGTCGGGAGCGACCGCGCTAGCGAGAGCCGCATCTGACAACGCGAGAACCGCGCCGAAGCAGCCCGGTGTCACACCCGACAGCTTGGCCGCTGTCGTCATCGGTCTGGGCATGTTGTGATGAAGTCCATCAAGCTCGGATCCTCAAATAGCCATGTGTAGGTGTGAGCGTGTCCCAGATTACAGGAATCTTCCGAGTATCCAGACGATGGACAGACGTTGATTCAGTGTGTAGGCCATCTCCGGGACGAAATGGGAAGGAACCCGAAGGATCCATTCGCGACAAGGACATGCCGAGTCGCATTGGCAGTGAATGCGAAAATTTCGCGCGGTAAAACATCGGCTGCAGTCCATAATCTCATCATGTTACATCCAGTGAAAGTGAGGCACTTGGAAACCGGAGTGCACGGACGGTTGGCATGGCGGAGGAGTTGGGGGAGCCAAGGCCAGTCTTATGCGATAAACTTCGACGGCAGATGTCCGCTTCGAGTGTTGATAGGTTCGCAGACATGTCCAGAGGCACTCTCATCCCATACTAGAGGCCGCGGACGAGATTTAGAACCCGGACGAGAAATGATATCTCCTTCAATGGTCGCTGTGGGAAGACACTGAGCCGTGGATTTCGGTAGATGGTCGCATGAGGTATTGAATCGAAATAGCCAACAGTACGGTTTCCATGGGTCGCAGCACGTCAATCATTACTCCGGTTCCGCTGCAAGGTACGGTTTTGGTTGTATCTGTGGAGTCGCATGTCGCAAGGGAGGTCGCATAGGAAGACGCAGTGTTCTGCTGCTGGCATGTCGCTTGGGAAAGATGAACCGTGTCGCTCTTGGAATAGACCTTGTTGGCCAGGAAGGCTGTTAATCCAGTCAGTAAGACGTGGAGAAGACCGAGTATCTCTCCGCGATATCTGGAGCAGGTAGGTCAGACGAGAGTAAGATATTGAAGTCAGTGTGGGATGAAGTCGTGGGTATTGTCGGTTGTTGGTCGCATGGAGTAGGAGTTGACGAGAGGCCCCCTATCGAGTGGGCACGCATTTCGGGTTACGCGTCAGCTGAGTCATGCGCCTTCATTTTCCCATCTGTCGCTTCCTCATACGCGATCTTCGATCCACCGATCATCAAAACTCGGCCACAATCGCGATTTACACTGTGCGCTTCTTCTTCTTTCTTATCGCGACGAATGTCTCGCGTTTCCGCACGTACTGTACTCTCTGCAGGTTTCCCAAAGTGCGGCGCAGGAGTGGCTGTGAGGCGGCTGTGAGGCGCACGGGGGCCCTAATAGCCGTTCTTTCCGGGCGGGACGGCGCCAAAAAGCTTGGCCTACGACTATCATCACCATTCTCAAACCTTTCGGGGCCACGCAGGAGCGTCAAGCATGTCGACTCTCGGCTTGGCACGTTGTGGTACGCGCATGCCTTTCCCCAGGAATGACAGGAGGTGAAACGAGATCGATGGCTAGTCCCCACCTCATCTTCGACGTTGCTTCCACGGCTTCTCCATCTTGTCACCTTCCGTCGACTTTCCCTTTGCCGTGTGTTTGAGCGAGAGTCTGCCGTGTTCCCTGCTTGTTCGATAATCCGCCCCCGAGATACCTGCCGCTATTCCCGTCGTTGACGAGTCACTCATTTTTGCGTTGCTCCCTCCTCTCATTCTCCACATTCACCATGATACCCCGGACAGCGCTTTCGGCGCTTTTGTACGCCTCCACCGCATTCGCCGTGTGCACCAAGCTCGAAGACTGCCCCCAGTTTGAGGCCCTCAAGACCGACGAATGCCAAACCTACCATCATTTCCTCGCCCGCGGCTCTACCTCGCCATACCCGGGCCACGTCATCGAGACAGTCGGCAAAGTGTGCAATGCGCTCAACACCAAGGAAAACCCCAAGGCCTGCGGATATGAGGATGTGCAGTACTGGGCCATGAACGGCGGAGAGCGATGGTGCATATCGTCGCACGAGGGGGCTATGAATGGCGCCGAGCAGATGAGGAACTACACTGCGAGGTGTCCGGACAGCCACCTCATTGTCATGGGTTTCAGCCAGGGTGGTAGCGTCGCGCTCGACGTCCTCGGTGGTGGTGGCGGTCCACTCTGGGGCT